CGGCAAGTCAAGTCGCGAAACCCCAAACCCTTCGAGTCAAGGCTCAGTTTAGCGAGTTGAGTGGGGACTCAGTGAGTTGGACAGGTCTGAACTCGGAAATCAGTGAACTCGTCGAGTCAGTAGACAGACTCGGCGAGTAGGGTCAACATGGAAGGTTGACTTTGGCCAAGACTTTGACTTTGATCGAAGTTGAGTTAGTTGACTTTTCGAGGTCTGACAGGCTAAGTGTTTCTTTGTTATTGGTAGCTCGGAGAGTTAGACGAGCAGCGTTTCAGACGGTGGTTGGTTAGCAGTTCGAGGGTTACCAGCAGAATTCAGCAGTTCAGGTGAGTTTCCTTCCAGTAGGAACGGGTCTAAGGCCACAATGTCGGCCCGTTCAGTTAGCAGTAGTTTCCGGACTTCAGTCCGATGCAGTAGTTAGTATGTCTGATGCCTTCGTGGCTCAGACAGAATTTAGGTGTTATGTGTTATGTGCTATGTGTTCCGGGCAACGGCCCGATGCAGTATGCAGTATATGTGTTTATGCTAGTTGATATGTTATGCTATGCTATGTCCAGTCAGTTTCCGGACATCGGTCTGATGCCGGGGGCAAGGCCCCAGTTATCCGGACTTCGGTCCGATGCAGGGGACAAGGTCCCAGTCAGTTTCCAGACTTCGGTCTGATGTAGGGGGCAAGGCCCCAGTTAGTCCGGACTTCGGTCCGATGCAGGGGACAAGGTCCCAGTCAGTTTCCGGACTTCGGTACGATGTAGGGGGCAAGGCCCCAGTTAGTCCGGACCTCGGTCCGATGCAGTGGCCAAGGCCCAGTATGTGCTTTATATGTTATTGTATGGTATGTGGTAGTTTGGGGGAGATTACTAAGCTTCATGCTTACAGTTTCTGTTTTTGGTTTGAGGTACTCAGTTTTCAAAAGAGGAGCTCGGAAAGATTGCAGTGCACACACCATAGTCAGCTAGCCTGGGATGCTTTACTCTGATAATAAGTTTGTATTTCGAATTAATGCTACACAATTATGTTATAATTATGATACAAATTTTATGAATATGGTTTTAGTAATGTTTTAAAAAGAAAATTTTAGTCGTGATTTTTGGGATGTTACAAGTTGGTATCAGAGCCTTGGTTTGAGGGATTCGGATACACTTCAAATGTGTCTGAACTCAAACTAAGGAAATGGTAAAAGGTTTTCAAAAGAAAGACATTTCGAAAGAAATTTTTAGGAAAGAAAGAGTTTTTGGAAAAAGAAAAAAGAAATTTTAGAAAGGAAATAAATTTAAAGAGAGAAATTGGTGTGGTGCATGCAATCAGCCGAGCTCAAGTAAGTACTCCCAAATTACCCATGCAAGTTTATGTGATGACTATCAGTTTCAGTTTCAGTTCCAGTTCCAATTTCAGTTTCAGTTTCAGTAGAACAGTATGCTAGTATAGGACTAAGGATCTAGGAGGATGCCTTATGTGCCTACTTTATGTGTTTCAGCTTTACAAGATTTGCATACTAGTATTGAGTAGACAGTAGTAGGATAGCCTGTTTAGGTTATGCTTGATAGTATGAGCTTAGCATTGTATGCTAGTACAGTATCTCGTTATGAGAATAGATTTGCTTGAGTAGTTTCCTGTATCCGAATGCTGCTTGCTTTGTGCTTTGTGGGACTCTGTGTGATGGGAGTTGGCCATTAGGTGAATACGTCACATCACATGTGATCAGGGTTGAATAATCTCAAAGTGTTGGATTTGGCCCTATTGCGCAGCTCTTGTTTGAGTCTAACCGTTGTAGGGACGAGTCTTTTACTCGAAGGATTATCTGAGCCTCATTACATGTGATGGTATTCAGGTGATGACTAATTAGTATTACCAGGAGGCCTTCAGTAGCTGAGGACAGGTTTGAATGGAGTTAGAGGTTTCCCTAGGGCAAGCCTAGGATGAGAGTGGCAGAGATCAGTAGTAGTAGAGTGACTCGGTGGATTTGAGGTAACTCTTGAGGAAAGTACGGATAGATGTGGAAGGTAGTATGGGCCTGTACTACTGAAAGCAGAGGATCCGTACTCGATTTAAGAGGGGCCGAGACAAAACCAGGGAACTAGTAGAGTGTGTGAGAGATCCCTCAGCAGCGGTGTGTATATTGATCAGCAGCGTTTTATATTTTTCAGCATGGTGACTTTGCGCGAGATACCAGTTAGCAGTTCAGGTACCAGGGAGGGATCTGGCTCGGGCTTTGGAGCCGGGCAGCTTGACGATTAGATGAAGGAGTTCATTTTCGTAGAGATTATGCGCATCATTATCGATCAGAATCCAGTGATTTTCGGTTCAGTTAAAGAGGTCATTATGGAACTTATGTACAGTCATCTTGAGGCCTTTAGGGCCGAGGTGGTTTCAGGGCAGATTGGGGCTCGTCTAGAGCCCGATTCTTATGAGGTTCAGGGAGATCCCATTTCCAGCTTTCGCCATGAAGGGAGAAAAGTGAGTCAGGCACCCTGTCTTCAAGAGAGATCTCTGCATGATTGGATAGTTGAGGAGGTTTCGCGAGTCATTCGCGAGGGGTTGCCCGGCATGGTCACGGGGATTATTGATAGGTTGACTACGAAGCTCCATGATCAGACAACAGTTGTTCAGATGATGGATGGGGTTGATAGGGTAGCTCAGGAGCGAGAGCCGGGCAGGGAGTCGGAAAGGAAGAGATAAACAGATGGGTCACAGGTAGCCACAGGTTCGGGCAAGAGACCCAAAGGGTCGGATTGGAGATCGAGGTATTATCAGAGCCGCAGTCGATGCGGGAAGTGTGGTAGGTCGCACTTGGGTGCGTGCAAAAGTGGTGGTGGTGGTGATTTGGGCTGCTTCAGATGCGGCCGAATGGGTCGTTTCAGCAGGGATTGTACTACTACCATCGCCCAGGGGCTTGACCCGATATGTTTCCATTGCGGTCAGAGAGGTCACAAGAAGGTCTACTGTCCAGGTGTGTATGCAGCAGAGCAGGTGATAGCTCCTGCGTCTATGTTTTCGAGTATCACCAGCGGTTGCTGGGGTCGGGCTAGGGCGCCCACGGCTCGAAGCAGATTGTACCGGTTGATTGCAGCTAGGGTCCGGGCAGCGCCGGGTGTTGGAGGTATGTATCTGTTGCCTTCTTGTCAATTATTATTCATGATATTATTGTTATGTTGCTGCAGCGATATTTATAAGCGTATGTTTTGGGGTATCATATTACCTGTTTGTGATCGAGTTTTATGCCATCTGCATACCTTGGATTTTGGTTAGTAGTTAAGGGATGGGTTTTATCGAAAAAGGTTACTTAGGGTGCAGTAAGTGTAGCATGCCTTGGAGGGACTCGGTATGTCTCGCTAGTACGGAGCAGTATAAGTTTTAGAAATGGAGTGGTTAGATTCCTAGATATGGTAAGCGTGGGATTCCTCAGCAGATTAATTGTGGAATGGTAGCAAGGATTTGGATTTCTATTCTTTGAGCAGTGAGGTGTGAGCAGGATCGAAGTGGGGGAGAACCCTCCGAGTATGCTAGGGCAGGAGCACGCTGAACCGGAATGAGTGCGCAATCCTTGAAAAGAGAGGATAGTAGCATAGCAATGGGTGGATCAAGAAGTTCAGAATTGGGAGTTTGGGGAACTTCCCAGCAGTTAGTTCATGTAATTGATATGGTTAGTAGCTGTTTGGGAATCGAGGTTGGAGGACCGTCAATAGGACTCTATTGAGTCGGAAGAAGGATCTTGAGAAAGGTTAGCAAGAGATGTTCCCGTGTTAGTAGTCAGTGGTGGAGACAACATATAGGGTTGTGTGGATTCAGGAGTTGGAAGTTTGGAAACTTCCAATGTTAGTTTCATGTTCTGGATTAGTAGGCGGTGGATGTGGGGACCAAGTCGAAGAATTTCACGACGGAACGTTAATTTCTTCAAGGATATAATATGTCGAGGTAAATGAAGCATCCGATGATTGAGGGCTGATTTAAGAAGTCAGGATGAGGGATTGCTAGCAGAACTAGGGATAGTCAGGAAGTCCTCAAATTAGTGATTGGTAAGCAGCCTGGTAGTAGTAGTGTTGTAAGTATGCGGGGGTAGTCGTAGCATTCACTAGTAGTCAGATAGTAGTAGTAGTGTTGTAAGTCTGCGGGGGAAGCCGTAGCGTTCACTAGCAGTCAGGTAGTAGTAGACTGAGGTAAGCCTGCGGGGGTAGACGTAGTGTTCTCTAGCAGCCAGATAGTATTAGGGTGTTGTAAGTCTGCGAGTGTAGCCGTAGCATTCGCCAGGTTAGTAGACAGAATGAGCGCATCATCTGGACGCAGAGAGGGGAAAAGCAGTAGTACCCACCAGTTCGGTGCAGCAGCGAGCATATAGAAATCCACGGGTTGGATTTTGAATTTTCCAGAGTTTAGTCATGGTTGAGCCAGCCATGCGACTGATGGGTCGTCAACACAGTCACGAGATTAGGGAAGCAGTGAATCATTGGGATTCATGTATGTTAAGGGCTACCATTAGCCTGGGAGCCATCATTATAGTCTTGGATTTGTTGAGGTTTGGACCCGGTCGGTTGGATCGGGAGGTCGTTAGGACCACAGTAACAGGATGATTTGTGGAAACTAGTCCTAAAGAAAAGTTCGTTTCAGGCAGTTCAGTGTTTCAGGCAGTTCAGTGTCGCAGGCAGTTCAGTGTTTCAGGCAGTTCAGTGTTGCATGAAGTTCAGTGTTTCAGGAAGTTCAGTGTTGCAGGCAGTTCAGTGTTTCAGGCAGTTCAGTGTTGCAGGCAGTCCAGTGTTTCAGGCAATTCAGTGTTTTAGATAGTTGCAGTACTTTGGGCAGTATTAATTTGGTGTCGAACTGCAAGTTCAGCCATATTAGTTGGACCTGGGTGGTCTCAGTTCATCCGGAAACCAGATATGGAATAGCGGAATTTTCAGTCAGTAGCAGTGCGAGTATGCAGCGTATGGTAGGATTCAGTCAGTTGTTCGTGGGGGTGCGCGACACCGTATGATAGTAGACAGAATGCCCAGTGGATACTAGCGAAGATGACCCGTACTGGGAGTAGCGGGAGTAATAGATTTGATGGAGACAGGGTCTTCACAGTGACGAAAGAGGTAGGTAGTTATGGAACATCGCCTTGGGAAGTCAAGGAAATTGTGCAAGGAAAGAAGGGGTGAACCCCTACGGGGACAATGCAGTATTTGGAAAGTATCAGAAAGATTGTCGGTTGAGTGCGTTGCGTTTCCAGAATGTTCAGGGTCAGGATGGACCCGAGATTATTATCGGTAAGGATTGTCATTGGTCTGAATGACTGAGCAGAAGGCCAGCGAAGGTAGGCAGCTGGTGTTAGAATGAGCGGTGGGGTATTGGAGGCAGTTCGCAGTTGGTGTATTGTAGCAAATTTCGAGGATGAAGTTTAGTTTAAGTGGGGGAGAGTTGTAACACCCAAAGTTGGAAAGCCAAGAAAAAAAAAGAAAACCCCAATTTTAAGGGGAGACTCTGCGAGTCCAAGGAGGGACTCGGCGAGTCCGAGCGGGATCCGGGTCGAGGTGTAAGCGACCGACTCGACGAGTCGAGCAAGGTGACTCGGCGAGTCTGGTCTGGGCAAGGAAAACCCTAAATCCGGGACTTGGAGCTTATTTAAACGCCTCATTCTCTTCCCTAAGGCTCCTTTAGTGCCTCTTTCACTCAGAACAATAAACCCTAGCCGCTATAATCGTTTTGGAGCAAGATCTAACCCTTGGTGAAGCTTTTTGGAGCTTGAGAGAGAGGATAGTCATTGTGGAGCAAGAAGGGGGCCTTGGATCCAGAGTTGGTGGAGTATTCTGAGCATTTAAAGGTAATAAATCGTTACCTTCCCTCTTTTGTTTAATAGATCTACCTTGGCTATGAGATTTGGAGCTTTTATGCCATGCTTAAGAAACTATTTTGAGTTAGAAGCCAGATCTGAAGTTACTACTTCAGATGTGAGTGTGTCTCACTACAAGAAAAAGACCCTTTTACAACGCGCAAACTATGACACTCACTGATTTATGTTACGGAAAAGAGAGTGACATTAAAAAAATGTCATCTCTTCAAAAAATTTAAGGATTTATGTCACGCATTATTAAGTGCCCTTAAATTAGTGTCTCATGAAAAGAAATTAAAAACACGGAGGGTGCTTTAATTTAAAGGCGCGCCCTCTATACCTGTCGCTTTATAATTTTAATGAAAACGCGCGTTTAGTAGAGGGGGAAACGAAATCCTCAAAATTTTGAAAACCCTTCTTCTACCTTCTTTCTATCTTTCATATCCTCCCCTCTCCCTCCTTCTCTCTCATCTCCGGTCCGCTTCTCCGCCACTCCTGAACTCCTTATCGATCTCATCAAACATCGTGTACCCTCCTTAATACCTAACGGGAATCTAAAAATTAGAAAACCCAGTCCTCAAAAAGTTTAAGAAACTAGGGTTTTTTCATCCCTCAAAGAACAACCCACATCCTACATAGATCAATCTCTATCGCTTCATTTTCTCACAGGAAATCGAACACTTTACATTCATAGGGCTACAATTGCAAGGATCCTCACACACATTTCTAGAGAATCCCTTCGCATATATAACACGATCATCTTCACAAAAATGGCTGCCACCATTGCTTGAGTTGGCTCAAGCTACGATCGACAATCGGAGCTCAAAGCTTTCGTCCAAAAAAAAAAAAACAGGCGTCAAAGGCCTCGTTGATGCCGGAATTTGGAAAATCCGTCCCATTCTCTTCCATCCACGGGACACCACTCCCAAAATATCCATCGCTGCTGTCAAGATTCCAGTCATATACCTTCAATCGACCCATAGAGCATCGATGGTGGAGATGATTCGTGAAGCCACCGCGAACCTAGGTATTTTTCAGGTGGTGAATCATGGGATTCCTGTGAGTGTTATGGATGAGGCAGTTCCAGCAGTTTGTAGATTTTACGAACAAGATGAAGAGGTAAAGAAAGGGTTTTACACGAGGGATCTTTCGAGTACACTAGTGTATAACAGTAATTACGATCTGTATAGTTCCCCCGCCTTGAACTGGAGAGACACCTTCTTTTTCATTTATGCCTCCGTCACCTCCGCCGCCTGAGGAATTACCGGAGGTTTGCAGAGAGATTCAAATCGAGTACTCAAATCAAGTCATGAAATTCGGAGGCGTACTTTTCAGATTATTCTCAGAGGCATTGGGGTTGAACGTGAATCACCGGAGGTTTGCAGGGACATTCAAATCGACTAGGGTTTTTTTTCATACATCTGGTTCGAGATCAATTTCTCCATTTCCCTCTCTCTCTCCCTCTCTTTCTCTCTCTCTCTCTCTCCCCCTCTCTCTCTCTCTCTCTCTCTCTTTCTCTCTCTTTCTCTCAAAACATCAAACAATTTCTCAATTTCTCCTAGGTTTCCATCTTTCATCTTGTTTTCATCTGTGACTCCTTGATTGCCTCCTTCTATCCTCAGCGTTTCATCTGCCACCATCTGAGAAATTTTTACTTTTCTTGTTCCCTTCAATTTCAGTTTTAGCTTAAGTGATGTATAATTCCTTAACTGGTGCTATTTCATGCAACTTGATATGCTACAAGAAGAGAATGACAATGTCCTTGAGAAGGTGGGTTCTAATTATGTTATTCTTTGTTTATATATATATATATATATATATATATATATATATTATATATATATATATATATATATATATATATATATATATATATCTGGTCTTCATTGTTGAATTTATATTGTGCAGCTCAGGTTTGCTGAAGAAAGTTGTCAGGATGTAGAGATGAGGGTTAAGGATCTTGAGAAGTAGGTGCTCACCCATATTCTTCTTATTCAATGTCTGTCATATATTGGGACCTAAAATGTTACATACTTTCTATTCCCACTGAAATAATAAATATGATCTAATCTAATCATTTCACTATTTTGAACTTAAGAGTTATGACACTCATATCCCAATTTGTTATTTAAATCTGAGCCCATTCTTTTATTCACTTCACTAGCTATTAGTTTTTCTGTTCCATTTTCAACTGTTTTTTTTGGAGATCCGTGTGAGTTATAATTGGAATATGGAGATCTTGTTGTGTGTATGCTGGAGGCTCACTGAAGTGAGGGTGATTTGGTAAATTTGGGAAATGATGGTTCTTGTAAGGTGGAATATTTTTCGATTTGGAATGTTGAGGTCTCGTTGTGGGTTCTTGTATGCATACTAAAGCGATATGAAATAAACTCATTAATTGTTTTTTTCATAAAGTAAAATTACTCATAAGAAGTAAACTATAACTTTGTAATTTACTTGCTCTAATATAAGAGTTTAAGAGCATATGGATTTACCTTTTTGGTAGTTTAACTGCTTCTTCACATCTTAAAAGCTCTGCATACAACCCATCTGAAGCTATAAGTTCATCATGTGTCCCAATCTCCATTAACTGACCTTTCTGCATCACAGCTATAAAATCAGCATTTTTAATTAACGAAATCCTTCTAGCAATTATAATGGTTGAACGACCCAACATTAACAAATCCAAAGCCTCTTGAACAGATCTTTCAGCTTCAAAATCAAGTCCACCTGTCACCTCATCAAGAAGAAGAATACAAGGATTCGAAAGCACTGCCCTTACAACCAAAAGTCTTATCTTATATTCTTCTGTTAAAGATAAACCAACCCTACCTGCCTGAAAGCAACACATGTTTTCTCATTAGGTTAAAAGGGTAAAACTGTAATTTCATATACTCTTTTGGTTTTTAGTTACATGTGTATCGTATCCTTTTTCAAGTAAGCTGATGAATGTATGTGCATGATCTGTTTTAGCTGCATCTTCAATTTGAAGTGATGTGACATCTCTCCCATAGGCGATATTGTCCTTGATACTTAAACTTAGTAATGTAGGCTCTTGAGTGACTAAACCAATTTGGCTCATTAGCCATTCCAGTTTCAGGTTCTTGATGTTCTCTCCATCTAGAAGAACTTCCCCTGAAAAAGAAAACAATAAATAAAAAGAATATAAAGAAAACAATAGACGATTAGGGAGTTAAACTGCAAAATGGTGATATTTCATTAATCCAAAGAAATAGTGTGAAGATAGAAAGAAGTAACATATTACGTACCTAATGTAGGATCATAAAACCTTTCCATAAGTGGAATAATGCTTGTTGATTCTTCTGGTTAGTATTCTCGGAAGGCATCAAACTGGATTGTAGAAGATTCATGTCCTGATTACATGTTGAATGTATATTCCATTATTGCCACTCCTCTTGGTTATAATTACTGTTGTTGGTATAGGGGATATTCCTTTTTTCCATTAAGAACTGTATTTCCATGATGGTTATTAATTACAATAAAACTTTTATATACATAAATTGTCTAACTTTTTAAAGGATGTTAAAAGGGTTAAAAAGACCATCCTGTCCCTATACATTAATCACTTTTTTTTGTAGGTTGTTTGACTGCAACATGTGGTTATATGTTCTAACTCGGGTAAAAACCTTAATGAATTAGCTTAATTGCTTTTATTATCAGAGAACTTTGATTTCCTTTAAAAAATCAACTAGTCATAAACCACATAGGTTACCAGTTTTTTGTTATTGTTGAGTAACTAACTTGAAGGAGAAATATTGACATCAATGAAGAGACTTCAAGGGATGCATGTCTCGTTCATTTTTCTTGATCTTAGAGATAATCTTGGTGGATTAGTGCAGGTAAACTTACATAAATCTAATGAATTTTTGTTTGTAAATCATCTGGTTGTATTGTTATTTCTTTTAGGAGTGTTCATTGTTCGGTTTGAAACCGTGAAGCCGGACATCGGTTTGGTTTCACGGTTTGTATTTCTATTTACGATTTGGCTCGTGGTTTCAAACATTCGAAACCGTAATCAACGGTTTGGCTAGCGGTTTCAAAAGTTTTAAACCGTATAAAAACCAGACCGGAACGTGTATTTAGTGTTGTAAGACTGTTGGTAACAGTATATGCCCTCCTGTTACCAATCTGCAAGAAATGAAGAATAAACCAACTTTACATACAAATATTTACAAGCTCATTCTATTTATAAACAAGATGATATTTTATTAGTTGTGTTTTTACGTGTACACCTACCGATACATGAGATTTTTCTTTTCTGTCACTTATTTTGGATTCAGGTTTGATGCAAACCTGAGACCAGAGACTAAGGTTCTGATAGATCAATGACAGGTTCCCTAGAGAGCATAAACCACAAGAAAAAGTAAGACGGTAAAGAGATATTTATGGGAGACATGACATCATCTTCTTTCATGTGGAAAAAAACTTACAAATTTTTTGTCCCATACTCATGGTAAGACCTCTTTCGCCTATTTTTGTTAGATCTCAATGACTATAAGCTTCTATATTCTTATCCAAAGCACATGTCTTTATGGCCTTTCTCGTATGCTTATCTTCAAAAAGATCTTCAGTTTTACAGTTTCTTATCTTTTTTCTTTCTGAATACGAATTTCAAGAAACCCCAGTAGTGGATTTTGCTTTTTCGTTTTTAGATGTTCTTTCTTTTTTATTATCCATAGCTTTTAGAATTGTAACTTTTGTTTAGTTATCAGTTGGTTGGAGTTCACTTTTAGTTGAAATCATGTTAAACTTGACTTATTGATAGATGTTTGGATTCCAACTTTTTTTTACTGATAAGGTTGTTCTTGTTGCTGAGAAGAAAATGCCATTTAAAAAATGATGTCAGACTTGGTTATAAAAAAATGATGAGGTTGTTGTTTTTGTTGAGAAGAAAATGCCATTTAAAAAAAATTATAATAACTATAGATTATAAAATTATCTCGGTCTAATTCAAATTATAACTTTTGTGTGCTTCTGATCTGATTCTTATCGATAACCAAAACTGTTGGTTTCTATTTTCTTGGTATGTTATATTTTAATTTCCATAGAAATGCATGTCATGTCAGGTATTGAGTTGAACAGAGTAGCTGAATGACTAAGGTCGTGCACAGGAGGTGGCTATAGAAGCAACAGTGTCAGCAATTATTCATCTTAAGGACAGTTTAAATTAGTGGGACAGCAAAGTGGGAGATGGTGACTATGGATCAACAGTAAGTCTAAATCCACATCCAAATTTTGGTATTATATATATATATATATATATATATATATATATATATATATATATATATATATATATATATATATATATATATAGGTGCAACAACTATTCTTCAAGACTAACTATGCACAGTGAAAGTGTGATTGGGTGATTATTATCTAGGTTAACTAAACGGGATATTTATCTAATTAATACCCAGATTTTTTCTACTTATGTTTGCTTGCAGATGATTCTCAAATATTCTTAATGATCTTTATATAACTTATTTGCTGCATGAAATCAGGGTGTTATGATCTTCAATATATTAAGTTTTGTAAAAATATAACTTTGTGCAGTTTCTATGAGTACTTAAAGTGTGGATACAAGGAAACAAGCTGCAACTGTGAAGCCTTATAAGTGAGTTGGTAATTTTAATTCTAGATAAAATTACAACTGTAGTTGTATATATAAAACAAACTAATGATTTATTAAAACAGAGACATGTGGGAGACATTAATGAAAGTTCCTGAATCTGGCTGAAGAGGTTTGTTATTTTTTGTTGCTAATAATTTTGATATGTATTATTTGCAGCTTGCTAGGACATGCTATAACTTTTATCAGTCCACACCAACAAAGTTGGCTGGAGAAAACTACTTCCTCCATTCAGTGCAGGTTAGTATTTTCTCATGATGATGTGTTGTTTCTTGTGTAATTAAAAGCTTTTTGGTTTCATCTTTTTGATTGTGTGATTAATAAAAGTTTTTTGGTTTCAGCTAATGTTCAAGTCATTATTTGTCATCTACACTCGATGGACAACAACCAATTTTTTGACATGGAGAATTTGTTTTTTACATGATATCTGAAACAAGTTGTCCCTTAATAGCAATGTAATAATAGGTTAGATAGTTAGGGATTGTATTTTATGCAATGGATTGTATTTTTTGTATATGATTATTTGTATGATATTAAATTTTGTGCAATGGATTGTATTTCTTGTATATGATATTTTATTTTCTATTATGAGACATTAAATACAAATTTAATTTGAAAATTAGTAAATCTATAAATAATATTTATTTTAAACATTTAAAACTATGATACGCAAAAATGTATGTCATCTTCATTTATGACATGGCCTTTCTTGACAGGTGCTTACTTGATACACATTGCGTGTCATTAACACGCGCGTTGTAAGGTTACGACACGCGAATGCGTGTCGTCTTCCTTTATGACAGGGCCTTTCTTGATACGCATTGCGTGTCGTAAATGTGCGTCGTAAATGCACGTCGTCTCTCTTTATGACAGGGCCTTCCTTGATGCGCATTTGTGCGTCATCTAAGCCCTTTACGATGCGCAATGAGCATCATAAAAGGCTGTTTTTCTAGTAGTGTCTTGGCCTAGAAAGTCATAAAGCATCTGTTCTTGGGTTGATAGTGAAGCTTCTTTGTCTTAAACCCTAGTTTGGATTGTTTTAAGCCTAGATCTCTTGATCTACACGTAAAGTTTGGCACTTTACATGAGGGATAGGCCCTATAAGTATGGTTCTATGAGTTAGAAGCCCTGTTTGGCTCGAAAAGCCACTGCATGGATTAAGGACTTAATAGACTCGACGAGTCCTTTGAGGGACTCGACGAGTAGTATGAAGATAGAGGCGAACTCAACGAGTTGGATGAAAAACTCGGTGAGTCTATTGAAGATTGCCTTGGACTCGGCGAGTCTATTCTTGGACTCGGCGAGTCAGGTCGAGAAACCGCAAACCCTTTGAGTCAAGGCTCAGTTTAGCGAGTTGAGTGGGGATTCAGTGAGTTGGACAGGTTAGAACTTGGAAATCAGTGAACTCAGCGAGTCAGTAGACTGACTCAGCGAGTCAGTAGACTGACTCAGCGAGTAGGGTCAACATGGAAGGTTGACTTTGGACAGGACTTTGACTTTGATCGGAGTTGAGTTAGTTGACTTTTAGAGGTCTGACAGGCTAAGTGTTTCTTTGTTATTGGTAGCTCAAAGAGTTAGAGGAGTAGCGTTTCAGACGGTGTTTGGTTAGCAGTTCGAGGGTTACCAGCAGAATTCAGCAGTTCAGGTGAGTTTCCTTCTAGTAGGAACGGGTCTAAGGCCACAATGCCGACCCGTTCAGTTAGCAGTAGTTTCCGGACTTCAGTCCGATGCAGTAGTTAGTATGTCTGATGCCTTTGTGGCTCAGACAGAATTTAGGTGTTATGTGTTATGTGTTATGTGTTCCGGGCAACGGCCCGATGCAGTATGCAGTATATGTGTTTATGCTAGTTGATATGTTATGATATCTTATGTCCAGTCAGTTTCCGGACTTCGGTCCAATGCAGGGGGCAAGGCCCCAGTTTGTCCGGACTTCGATCAGATGCAGGGGACAAGGTCCCAGTCAGTTTTCGGACTTTGGTCCGATGTAGGGGCAAGGCCCCAGTTAGTTCGGACTTCGGTCCGATGCAGGGGACAAGGTCCCAGTCAGTTTCCGGACTTTGGTCTGATGCAGGGGGCAAGGCCCCAATTAGTCCGGACCTCGGTCCGATGTATTGGGCAAGGCCCAGTATGTGCTTTATATGTTATTGTATGGTATGTGGTAGTTTGGGGGAGCTCACTAAGCTTCGTGCTTACAATTTCAGTTTTTGGTTTCAGGTACTCAGTTTTCAAAAGAGGAGCTCGGAAAGATTGCAGTGCACACACCATAGTCAGCTAGCTTGGGATGCTTTACTCTGATAGTAAGTTTGTATTTCGAATTAATGTTATGAAATTATGTTATGATCATGATACGGATTTTATGAATATGGTTTTAGTAATGTTTTAAAAAGAAAATTTTAGTCGTGATTTTTGGGATGTTACACTTTGTGATTCATGCATGTTTATGTGTTAGGTGTTCCGGGGTAAGCCCGATGCCGGGTAAAGCTTGATGTAAGTTAGTCATTATTCCATTTATTAGGCAGTTCGGGGCAAGACTGATGTATTCTAGTTTATGTGTTACATGTTGTTGTTCCGGGCTTCGGTCCGATGTCGGGGCAAGCCCGATGAAGATTATGTAATTATGTTATGTGTTATTATATATGTTTTGTTGTGTATGTGCCGGGGTAAGCCCAATGTCGGGGTGAGCCCGATGCCGGACAGCAGTCTGATACCGGGTAAGGC